CGTTCTCCTTGTTGCCCTTGTCCAGGATGTGCTTCTGAAGCTCCTGCATCCCTTCCATCAACTTCAGCATGACGTCCAGCCTGGCGTTCTCTTTTCCGGAACCGCTCTCGCTGGCCGGTCTCAACTCCGAGGAATCCTCATCTTCATTCTTCACACTCTCTTCGTCGCCAACCGTTTCGTTCTGGTTGTCCCGCTTGTTGCTGGTCCCGTTGGGCACCTTCTGAACCTCGGGCTTGGCCTGGCTCTCCGGCGTCCCGTAGCGCTCCTCTTTGACATAGTTCTTGATGCGGCCCAACTCCTCCATCAACATTTTATTCTGCTTCTGGAGCTCCTTGATGGTTACCGCCATGTCCTCGTTGGTCTCCTGCCCAGCATCCAGAATCGGCAGATGCTCCGGCCTCCTTTGGTCCATCGGGGTGCCATGAATCAGCGGGGCCTCCCTTTCCCATTCTCTGAGTCGGCTCATCTGCTCTGGGCTGAACAACGGCCCCAGGGTCCTCGGGTTCTCCTCCGGCCCGCCCACCCACATCGGTGAGCCTAGCGCACCTCCACCCGAGCTCGCCGCCAGTCCTCTCCTTGGCGTTCCCTCTTCGCGAGAGCGCCCAGTCGCTGACCTCCCAGAAGCCCCCGTGCCCTTGCCCGTGATCACCGCCACCTCCTGCCCGATCAGCTCCCGGCCCACCTCATCCAGGGGTTCCGCGGAGCCCGGCGCCGAATGCGGCTCCTCCATGGCCTTTCTAAGAGGCCGCTGTTGGGCTCATAACCTATGGAAACCTTTCTCAGGTCGCTCTACTTTTCCTCATCAAAAACGGCTTCACACACGTTTTCTAAATGGTGAATGGTTTGAACCCCCTCCACTCAACCAAGCCACCAAACCACCCAAACCACCAGGCTTTTGTATGTGAATGGTTTGATCCCCCTGCTTTTTTTGACCCCCCCAGCTTTACACTCCCTTCCATGATCTTAGAACTACAACTTAAGCCTTTTTTTTGGGGGGGTTCCAGGTTAGTAGAAGCCCTTCGGATGACCCAGGAAGTATCTCTCCGGGAAGCCCCGCCCGGATTTGGCTCCAGGAGCCTTCTGAGAGGCTGCCGATGAGGAAAGGCGGCGCGGCCAACATCCGGAAGCACGCTTGGTGGGAGCCCCGTTCGATCGCTTCGGTTCTTCGGAAGCCCCGTGACGGTGTGACATGGCATCGACCTGACATGACCTGAAAAAAACATCTTCACATGTGTTCGAATTCACATTTTTTGGATTCACATTTTTGGGGTTCACATTTTTGAGTGGCCCCAAGTGATCGATCACCTTTTATTCCTAGGTCCGTGGGCAGAGAACACTCTTTGTCCCTCAATTGCTTCGGGATCTACGAAAGGTTTAACCTGAAAATAGAGGAATCACAGTCGGTGGACTTGATTCGAACAGTCGCTTGGCCCTCGCTTCCCGATTCGCAACCCCACTTCGCAGCTCACATTCCTGGAACTCGGCGGCGCACTCTTTGCACGATGTTTCAGGCTTCATTCATAGCAGCCAGGCAGAAGTTCGTTTCGTTCCCCGAGCTGGGGTTGGTTGCCTTACTCAACACCCGGATCCGAACTTTAAGAAAGTTGAATTGAATGACCTCCCGAGTTCCTGGACGTGTTACATTAAATGGGAAGACCATTTCGGTGGCAGGCCAAACGTTTGGACTTTCACTTGGCAGAAAGGCAGACATATCTGCACGTGTTTAGTCATGGTCCGACAAAAAGCGGTTGCCTGCTGTCCTTGGGTTGCTGATGATGAAGTGCGTCGAGTTGAGCAGAGCATTTGACGAGTTCCGGACAGGCGCTACATCGATGCCCATTTGCAGAGAAGAAAGAGCCGCACCAAAGGACCGATGGTTGAACTCCCCCAAAGAAAGCAATACGTGTTGTGAGTTGTTCAGTACCACAGTCTCTGAGTTCCTGGACTTTCAACTTTTTGAGAAGACCATTTTAGTGGCAGATAGAAAGTGTTGACTTATTTTGGCCAGTCCAGTCAGGAAGTGAGGTACCACTGTGAAGCTGAGTGGGGAAACCGAGGTTCAACCTCTTCGAGTGGGACAAGTACGACAATGGGAACATGCCATCGCCTTATAGGCCCCAGGCACCTGTCGACAGGGAGGCTTGTGTTGTGTTGGGTCAGGTTTTGGGTATTAGAGATTGGTGTTCGCTGTTTCAAAGGTTCGTTGGGTTCCGTGCGAGAGGCTATAAGATATTATTACTTTGTTTGTTTCAAGTATGTTGTTCCTGCGTGTGTTCCGTTTGGATGTTTGTTGAGTTTTGAATGTGATTGTGGAAGGTATTGGTACCAGACGGCACGTTTGTTCAGGGACGTTGGTTAGTTTGTTTTTCCCGGGCCGGGGGTGCATGCATTGTTTCTTGTCATACTTGCAGGTAGTCTCTGTGTTGTGTTCTTGTCATACTTGCAGGTAGTCTCTGTGTTGTTTTCGGGTATTGGTATACGTTGGTTTGTTGGCTGGCTGGCTGGCTGGCTGGCTGGCTGGCTGGCTGGCTGGCTGGCTGGCTGGCTGCTTGGTTTCTTTGTTTGCTTGCTTTTTTGCTTGCTTGTTTCTGTTTCTTCTCTACAGTGGGTCGGTCTTTATGTGTTGTTTAGTTCTTTGTGTGTTTGTTCGGTGTTGCAGCCGTTCTGTTTTCGGTTGGTCCTGCAAAAAAAAAGAAACGGTAGATTGCCCGACCATTCTCTCAGTGAGGTATGTTAGGCCCCCCCAAAGTGATGGTTCATTGGGGTAATTCGAGCTCACCAGGGGCTTTGTGCTTGTGAAGGATCCTTTGGTCCTTTTTTCTGCTTCGGAAATGATTGTATCGCTACCCCCCTCACCAGTTAGCATGGAACTTGACGCTCGGGACCCGGTCCCTTTGAAAGGAGAAATGGTCCCAACCAGGGTTCCATGTGAATTGGTGGAAGGGTTTATCTCAGATCAGAGCTTCGGCCCGTTCCGGGCTTAGCCAAGTGCAGCAGTAAGTACTGAGATTTCTACCCCTGATATCGTTAATTGGTAGTTATATTTTTTTGCCTTGGTAAACAAGTGATGACCAGAACTGGGGGGGTTGGCATTCTATACCTCAACAGAAAATGCTTAGGTGAAAAGGTTGGTCAAGTTCTGATATTATCTCATGATCATCCATGCATGTAGCTTCCTGTTGCCAGATTGGTCATGAAGTCTGGACAACTGTCTGGACATCATTCAATCCGAATTTGTCATCCAACACGTTCCACATTGTCACATGAACCACGCGGCAACACTGGCATATCTTGGCCCAAAATTTATATTCTGATCGATGATAGGCATGGCATGAAGTCTAATTGGAGCCCCTTGGGTGGACATCATCAATTCAGCAGGAAATCATGCCCACCAACCAGCTGGCACAGCCATACGTATTCTCCCTGGACCCCATCCCCGGGACTGCAGAATTTCTGTCATGTGACGCAATCGTAATGACGCACATACGCTGTTGCTAGCGAGTCCTGTCAAATGGCGACTCAGGGTTGGTGGGTTTGTGGGGGTGTGCTATTCTATGAGGGAATCCTGCGCTTTGCGGGAAGCCGCTCCCCAAATCCAGATCTGTTGACATGGCAGGTGTCCAATAAGAAAGACATGAGCAACTTTGCCGCGAAGAAGGAGGACGCGACAGCCCGTCGGCTTTTTTAAAGGCACATGCATTTGAGAGTGAGGAATGGCCATACGTTTGTAATGTGGAATCTCAGGAGAAGGCTGCAATTTCATGACGACTTATTGGTATGTATGGTGCGTGTCAAAATAGGGAGACCCGCACAAAAAAATGTGGTTTCTCTTACGGTTTGGCTTGAAACCTATCTTTGAGAGGTACCCTCAAACACATCGATATATATATATAGGTATATATGGTCCCGTGTTCCGTGTTGCTACCCCCCCCCCCCCGCCCCATATGGTATGGTCTGCCAGGACCCCCCCGGCCCGAGACCCCGAGCCCCCGGATCCTGGCACCTACGGTCCCACCCCCACCCCGACCCCCTGAACTCGCACCCCGACACCCCGGCACCCCCACCCCCAGGACAAGCCAACCCGCAACCAACCATAAACCAACCCTACACTAACCCTAAACCAACCCTAAATACACCCTAAACCAAACCCTAAACCGTAGACCTCTAAACCTAAACCAACCCTAAATCAACATAAACCAACCCTAAACTAACCCTAACCCTAAACTAACCCCCAATACACTCTAAACCAATCCCTAAATAAACCCTAAACCTAAACCAACCCTAAACTAACCCTAAACCAACCCTAAATACACCCTAAACCAAACCCTAAACCGACCGTACACCTCTGAACCTAAACCAACCCTAAACCAACCCTAAATCAACATAAATCAACCTAAATCAACCCTGAACCAACCCTAAACTAACCCTAAATACACCCTAAATATACCCTAAACCAATTCTAAACCAACCCTAAACCACCACAACCCAACCACAGGACCACAACCACAGGGGGGGGGGGGGTACTTGCCTGACCCATGACCATTGGGGGGGGAGGGGGGGGGGGGGCTGGCAACGCTGCACCATATATATGAACTGGTCTGGTTTGTTTTGCCCCTTTGGGACTTGAACATTGCAGGCCAGATTGCAGACATGTTTTATAGTGGTTAGTACGTGTGTTTGATTGTTTGCTGGTTTTATGTGTGTTTCCTTGTGCGTTCATGATGTTCATGCCGTCAGGTTGCGAAAATGTACAAGCACCTTTGGGGATTGTTAGGAGGCGGGGCCTACAGCCGAACAACCTGACCCCAGCACAAAACGAATGAAGGCGAACCACGGGAGAAGTGGTTTGGTTTGTGTTTGCATTAGTTGCGCCTTGCGAGAGGGGAATCTAAACACGTTACATGCATAAGGTTTTGGTAATCTGGGTCCAGGGTATACAACGGATGCGGTAGATGCCGCGGGTCAACCCCAACATTTTGGTAAATTCCCTTTGACTGAGTATGATGGAAGCTGACAGGGTGAGGGAGCTCGAGGTGCCTTCAACAAGAGCTGGTTGGAAGGAAGTGGGGCGTTTGATTTGACTTGTTTTACATCCGGGGCTCGACCAAACGGGGCTTTCCACTCCTTAGCTTCACCCAAAAAAAGCTACTGAACGACGCCGCAACCCGAGAGCTTGTGAGGCCGTGAGTGCTAAGTTGCTCCAGGCCTGCTCGAGGTGGTTTGAGTCCCTGTGGAAGACCGAAAAATCCACCGCTCAATGCTTGTAGCATCCCCACCCCCTTGAACATGGAGTTGGGAGAGGGGGGTGTGCCCGGAGGTCTGATTTTCTGGCAGCCCATTTTCCCTTTTAATGGGGAAGACAAGCTAAATGGAATGGGATCCCGGACTCCCCCTCCCAGGCAGGTGGGGATCTGGTTCGTTTCCACAAAGCACGCTTCTGCCTGCGCCCTTCTGCATCCGGGAGGACATGCCGCCCAGCGTGCCCTACAAGGACCCAGTTCAGTACCAGTTTACCCTTTTTCTGTGGATGGACGAAGTCCTGCACCACTCCATGGAAAACCACTGTTTGTTTGGTATTTAGGGGGATCGAATCAGAAGCCAGGATTTCTGAATGGTGGTGCGAAATGAATTTCGCAGCCATCCACAGTATGGAGGGAACCAAAACCTAGCGCAACCCATGGCGCAGACAAACAAAGCTCCTGGCGAACGAGTCCTTTCGCTTTTTTGGCCGGCGGGCCCTTTTCTTTGGGGCGCGAAGCTAGCGCCTATCGTAAGTCGGAGGCGGGGGGTGCCCGAAATTGGTCACCACCTTGATGCTTACAGGGCTTTCCAGTTTCTTTGGCGGGCCCCCTTGATGGAATCCTTCTTCGCTACCCAATCCAGGGTGGACATTTGCGACAAGTTGGCAACTTGTTTGCAGACAGATCAACCCATGCAATTGTCGATGGATCGGCAACCCAGGTCCCTCTGAGACACCACCGAAAGGCAGAAGCGGCATGTGGTGGGGGAAATGGTTGGGAAATGGTACGGCAGCGGTCCCTTGTTTTGGGGTGGCCCATGCACCGCCTTTGGTGTCCCATTTCTCGAGTGTGTCTTGCGTGGGGCACATTTGTTCGCCCTGTTGAGAGCGTCCCCCACCCCCGGCCTCGAGGATGACGGCTCGGGGTGGGACGATGACTTCGCCACGAGCTCCTGAAGCGAAGTGCACAGGTTTGGGCGCGCTCAAAAGATCTCAAGAGGGTCCCTTTTTGCGGCTTGATGAATTGATATGTCTTTGTTTCTCTTTCTCTCTGTCTCTCTCCTAAGCTCTTCGAAAAAGAGTAATCAAAAGTCAAGAGAGGCGGAGAGCGAGAGAGAGAGGGAGACAAAAAAATGAGCAAAACACCATGATTTCAGCCAGGTTCTTGTCGTTTTGAGTGTTGGTCACGGCTCTTTGAGCAACGCCCAACCCGGCAGAGCTTTAGCCTTGAATTTCGTCATGCGAACACCTGTCCGAATCGCTGAAAATGGCTCTTCGGTCCTGTTTTGGACTGTTATACAGATCATGCCCCGTGTGGGCTTGCCTTTCTTGAGGCCGTTGAGCAGTTTGCTTTTGCGGAGGTTCCCCTATTTTGCGACCAATGTATGTGAATGTGTTTTGTTTAGATATACCCGGCATGCTGCTTGACTTGCCTTAAAACCAATGTGGTTGAGTTTTGGCGTCGACTGGTTTCTGCAAGCGCGTTTGATGAATTAATGTGAATTACACCTTGGTGCTAGCTGTGGAAGAGACTGTCAGATTCTGACAGGTTTCGACAGTGGAAATCAAAGAGGGATGCCGGATTGTATGAGTTCCTGGATTTTCTACTTTTGAGTTTGAACCGTTTTAGTGGCAAACAAAACGTTTGGTTGCTTCTGGCCAATCCGCTCGATCGGACGTGAGTTTGTTTCCGCGCATTTCGAGTCAGAGTGCAAGTCTGAGAGCAAGTGCTCGCATGCGCGACAGTGGCACGCTCTCAGTTGTCCAAATCCAGCCTGAATTCAATCTGACATGACCTTGTAGTCTCCCCTTCCTTCATTTTTCGTGGCCCCAAGAGGTGACATCACCGGTTTGTTTCTGGCTCCAATTTGGAGGCAACTGAGAGATGGGTCTCTTTCGGCAGAATCGCGCTTTGGCACACAGGGAACATTGCACCTGAGCGCCCGAAAACCCATTTGTTTTTGGAGACGTTGATGGTTCTACTATACTACCTTGTTTGTGATTGATCAGGTTTGGGTCCTTTTAGTGGACAAAACATGTTGGACTTGTTGGAACTTCCACACACGAAATGAGCCTTTGAACCAGCTGGTAAAGGCGGTTCTTAGTTTGGCCAAGCTGTATCCTTTAAGAAACCCTGTGGAATGTAACTTGTAGCCTGCCCAACTTGATCGTTCAGTGATGTCGGGCGAAGGAGCTTAGGATTCGATTCGGGCATAAGCCTAGCTTACCATTATTGCAAGTCCTTTCGGGATGCATAAGCCTAGCTCACCTTGTTTCCAAGTCCTTTCGGGATTCCCGGATTTCCCGGTTTCCGGTTTGATGAACCGGGGGGGTCCAAAAAGCGGGCATGTTGATCCCCCAGGAAAAAAAACACAGTTGCCCAAACGACCCGCAACTAAAAGGGTCAACCTTTTGGGGGCCATTCGGCAAGCCATGACTAGTGGACCAAAAGTAAAAGGTCATTTTAGGTCGATTCGCTTTGGGCAACTGAGCAAAGTGTCATTCACAAACCGGTACTCATTTGAATCACAGGTGGCTTGAGAAAACCCTCATGCGCTTCTTTGTTCTAACCTTGAGGCGGGTTGTCAGATCTTGTCCATTTTCGCCGGGTTTTTCCTTGAACCTCCAGCATCAAACACCATCTTTGGTCCGAAAGACTAGGCGGTTCCAAGTCAGCCACAGAAATGGCCATGGGTCAAAACCAATGGGATCCCATTTTGGGGGATTCGGTGAATTCGCCACCCATTTCGTAGCCTATTTAGTGGTTGGATTGAATCGGATGTTCACTGGGGGCTAACTGATTTGGGTTTTGACCCATGGCCAAATGGATAGGTTTTGGGAGCAGCTTCGCCCTCTCCTTTCTTCCCCAGAATTCGCTTTTTGTTTTTGTGTGTGTGTTTGTGGGGTCCCTTTGTTTTCCACTAACCAGGCAAGCAAACCATATTTTTGGCTGGGGTCGTAATTCCAGCCAAGCTTTTTGTTTGTTGGGCTTCGGGCCATGCCGTGCCCCTTGCAACCCTGGCGTTGAGCGCAGGGGCAAGGTGGCAAGGCGCTTCGGCTCACGCGGAACTCGCTTTGGAAAAAGATGGGCGTCGGTAGTGGAGTTCCACTTGTCTTCAAAAATCTCGTGGGGCGTGTGCTTTTGGAGCTTTTTTTCGTGGATGTAACGAAAAAGAAAAGGAGCCCCCCCCCCCCGATTGTTGGGGCTCCAACCTCAAAAAGACACCCCCTGTTTACATTTGAGGGTAGACTGCAGAACAGAATGTGAGAAGTGACTATCAGCGTTGCTTTTGTTAACGTGCCAAGTTCGGACTCCTCGTTCCGAATCCTCAGGCACATCGGAGGGAAACCATTCCCCATTGCATTCCAACCTCTGATCCCTTTTGTTTGATGGATTCCCAAAACTGGCCGATCAAAGCCCGGGTAGAGTATTATTTGAAAGGGGATTTTCCATATAGTAATAAATAGGTGCAGACAGCCGTCCTTTTGATGCTTCACATGGTTTTGGGTGTACACAATTTATATCAACGACTCCAGTTGATGGGGGCTGAACAAGCCATGATTTTCGAAACGCTGAAGGGAAGATGCGGATAGCTGGGCTTTCCCTTGGGCTTCATGACTCCAAATTGAGCAGGCAACAGTACAGTATCCAGGCAAAACCCTAAGGGTCACATCTACATAAGGATCCTTGACACTCAGGTGGCCTGGAATGATCATTCCGACGCTGTAAATACCAACAGACAATGGTCTTCCCGTGGTTTCAATCTGCTGCAGGATTTTGTCCATCACAGTAATATGAGGATATTATGAGGAGCTATTCATGCCACCCAGCCCAAACACCACAAACATGAGCAACATCACCCCTTGCGTGCCCCAAGGATTAAACCTACTTCAGGGTGAAAGTAGATGGCGCGGTTTTCGTCATGTCGGCAAGAGAAGTGTGTGATTCAACCTGGATCCGCGAATTGTACCATTCACATGCCAGTGTGAATACTGCACTCATCTCGAACGCGACATCCGACTGTTTGGGCACCGCAACAAATGACGGAGAACTCCCAACCCGCAACCGGCCGGCTTTTTTTTCTTCCGTTGTTCTGCCTCAGGCCTTCAGAAACCTAGCCTCAGCCCGTCAAGGCCTGTCGAGCTACCTGATATCCTAGAATTTGTCACTTTGTCTTGGGCCGCAACCATCAAGTTTCTGTTCAATCATCTCTCAAGAGAACGCGCCCAAAGGCCTCTTGGCCCCATCTTTAGGGGGGCATTGTAGAGGGTAACTGGGAAACCCCTTAACCACCAAACCTCCAATCCTAACCACCAATTAAATTAGAGGGAAGCTGAATCTTAACAGATGGTGAGCTTCCCAAAGTCTTTGTTTCCCACTGGCACCGAGCAAAACTATCAGCAATACCGAACCACTTCTAAATTTCTAAACCAGTACTACACCAAACTAAAGCAATGCTGAATCGACCTTCTGACCTTTTGGTTTCCCCTTGTTGGTCCATAGTCATCGCCCCAAACCGTTAACCTTCCAGCCCCCGAAACGCTCCGGTTCCAACTGACGACGGCAGGGCTGCGGCGCTTGCGGGACTTCCATCAGGAGCGCCAGCGTCATGCGGATGAGGCGAGCCGAGCGCCGGCGCCGGCGATCGTTCAGAAGCCGCTGGTTGGAAATCGCTGGTGATTCTGGACGCTTTTGGTCATTCGGCGGTTGGATTCACCTATGACTTTTGCGGTTCCAACTCTGAAATGTTGTAGCCATTCATATTGATGGATCGAGCCTTCAAGCATGGGATATACAGATATACCTAATCTTCAGTGGTGATCGTTGTGTTGTTCAAAACCAACCCTGGATCCTTTTTGCCCGATAGTAGTTGTGGTCTGTTTGTGGTCCCCTAGGAATTCTGGATCAGGATTAGGGTTCCCATGTTGAACAACTCAGCTCGAGCTTGACGCTTGGACCGTTTCTTTGGGTGTGAGCATCATGCAGTTGTTGTTCTTATTGCTATCGGGCAACTCCTGGTTGGTGCTTTGGATTGGTGGTTGCACCCCTGGTTCTTTTACAGGGTGAATGGGAGGCCAACCTGAAACACCTCCAAGCCGCCAGTTCAGAAAGAAGACGACGCCAAGTTGGTCAAACATGTTGCGGGGCGCAGTTATCCACCCTGGCCGGGATTGAGCCAAGTCCTTTGGGAGCACGACCCGCCGGACTCCGAGAATCCCGGATTTCTCCGGACCCGTGTGAGAGGAACAGTCTATCTTCATAAAGCTGCGCCACGCAGGATTAGGTCGTGTCCTTCGGATTCATCCAAGGTTGCATGCACCGCAACAGATGTGCCAGTCAGACTTGGAGTCTCCATTCGGATGCTGGCTTCCGTTGGGCTTCCAAAACGCCGAAAACTGGGATTACAGTTTGAAACTCTTGTGCATGTTGTCAGGTTCGCGGCATATGGAGAAACATTTGCCTTGGAGTTTGCTCGGCCTGGAGTTCCCTTGCTTCAAAGGCTGCTGGAAACCCCGGAGACGTGGATCTCCCCGGGTCGGAGCAGCCGGCTGGCAGTAGGATAGCAGTCGCAGTCTAAACATCGCCCCAGAGTGAGACTCGAGGTTCAGGATCCAGGTGGTGTTTGGGTCTGCCGGAACCCTGTTTAGCTTCTTGTTGTTTTTGTTTCTTCTCCCCCTTGCGTGCACACGGTAGCATGCACGCTGTGCAGACGGGCTCGGGCGAACACAAGCCCAATGCTAGGGAAGTCGCTTGAATTGGTGGTTTGCAGCCCGGTTGTTTGGTGGTTGTGTGGGTAGTTTCCCATCTACCCTCTACAAGAACCAGTGGGTTCAAATCCCACCACCAACTTGAAGGGACACCCAAATGAGACGTACAGCTAAGCCCTGGTTTTCAAGGAGGGCATGTTGATTTGGGAGTGCTTTTATTTCACCCTGTATGGGGGAGGGGGGTTCTC